AATAGCAATATATCTAGCTGACTTCTTGAGAGTGGACATCACATCTCAAGCAAGTGACCTGGTAATAGCAATATATCTAGCTGCCTTCTTGAGAGTGAACATCACATCTCAAGCAAGTGACCTGGTAATAGCAATACATCTAGCTGCCTTCTTGAGAGTGAGCATCACATCTCAAGCAAGTGACCTGGTAATAGCAATATATCTAGTTGCCTTCTTGAGAGTGAGCATCACATCTCAAGCAAGTGACCTGGTAATAGCAATATATCTGGCTGCCTTCTTGAGAGTGAGCATCACATCTCAAGCAAGTGACCTGGTAATAGCAATATATCTAGTTGCCTTCTTGAGAGTGAGCATCACATCTCAAGCAAGTGACCTGGTAATAGCAATATATCTGGCTGCCTTCTTGAGAGTGAGCATCACATCTCAAGCAAGTGACCTGGTAATAGCAAAATATCTAGCTGCCTTCTTGAGAGCGGACATCTTATCTCAAGCAAGTGACCTGGTAATAGCAATATATCTAGCTGCCTTCTTGAGAGTGAGCATCACATCTCAAGCAAGTGACCTGGTAATAGCAAAATATCTAGCTGCCTTCTTGAGAGCGGACATCTTATCTCAAGCAGGTGACCTGGTAATAGCAATATATGTAGCTGCCTTCTTGAGAGTGAGCATCACCCAAGTGGTCTTGCTTGGTGATGTGGTTAAAATGTCCAGTGTTATAGTGGATAAAATCCATACTATTTTTCAAGTTTTATAAAAAACATACTCTTTGCATATTATTTAAAGATTGACTTTAATAAACTGACGAAATACATGAATGCATAGCTTTTCCCACTGACTGCCACATTTCCATATGCCTGCAAATATAGTGTGGAATCAAAAGTAATACATATCTGACAAATGGTTTTCTCTATATTGGAGATTGTAAATCTGTATGGAATGAAAAGAATGCTATTAGTATCTATCACAGAATGGAGTGTCATTTACCATAAGTGTGGATGTTACACTCAAACACCATAGCTATGAGCTAAGATGAATGTCTTACATTACAACAAACCAACAAAAACGACAAACAAATGTAGAAACATCTTACATCATTGACTGGTATTCATTTACATAAAACACAAAAGGCAGATATTAAAAAATGTGCAAATTTAATCTACACGTCTAAAAAATGATGAATACCAATATGCATATAAAAAAACTAAGACAAAAAATGGGGAATGCTAAAACAAAAAATCAAATGTGGAGTTGCAAGAAATGGACAATGGGTTGCATGACTAAGAGTGATATAAATTTACTTAGCATAATTTATGTTGTATAACAAACGTGAATACAGTGATGTATAAAGCTTTGTATGTGGTTGATGACAACACATGGTTAAAGATCCTGGCAAGTCTTTGTATGTGGTTGATGACAACACATGGTTAAAGATCCTGGCAAGTCTTTGTGAACTTAAAACCTGTTTCAGTGACAAACGATATACAATGATTTCATTTGCAGAGTACAAGAATACAACTTTGCCAGGTCAAGACATTAAAAACTTTTGAAACAAAACTATTGGTTATCATGTCAAAAATATTTATACATAAAACAAAGTATGACAAAGTCCATCTTCCCAATACATGTTACCTCCTCCTCTATTCCCAATAGACAAGCTCTCTGGTTGCTACACTACTGAGCATGTTGTTTTTGATAAAAGGTGGGTCAATTGTAAGTCTGTTTACCTCAGTTTTTCACAAGTTGAATACACCGCCTATGTTGTCCTTATCCTATGTTGTAAATTATATTACGTCTTACTCCATTGCAAATTCTAAATATTATATAAACTGTCAAACCAGCAGCCGAGTACAAAACTGAAGCTGTGCCTACACCATCACAGAAGATTCATTGTTACCCCATTTTAACCCATTTCAACCAATTGCACACCGGTCGTTGTGAACACGTTTTAACCCATTGAAGGCCAGTCATCATGAACATGTTTTAACCCATTGAACACCAATCATTGTGACCCTGTTTCAACCCATTGAACTCCCCCAACTCATGGAAATTAGCAAGACTGTCATCAGAATTGTGTTTGTGTGTATTCTATGATTTTAATAATGTTCTTCAGTTCTCTGTATGATTTTACCTACATCATGTATTTACACATTATACAGAAACAAGAGCTTACTCACACAAATAACCTTTAATTGTGATCAAACACAACATACAATTTTGACAACTGTTTGAATTTCCTAGCTATAAATACAACATTTTTTTTCTAAAAACTGGCCACCATACAATACATACATCATTACTGTGTGACCCTCCCCTATGCATATGGGAAATCTTCTGAACAAAAAAAATATTAAAAAAGGAAATAAACAAGTTTAAAATATTTAATTATAGTTAAAATTTACTTAACAAGTCAGTGTAAACATGATCCACATATTGTGTTTGGCATAATTGACAACAAAAGAACAAACATACCAAGTACAATGTATTACGACATCTCTTTGAACAAAGCATACATACATACATACATGGATGGATGGATGGATGGATGGATGTTTTTCTAATACTATTATTAACCAATCATTTCAAAACATCAGCAGGTGTGCAATTTTTAATTGTTAAACAATTTCTTAGTTAAAACTGAAATTTCCAGACAAACAATTAAAATTTCAAAAACAGATTATTTATTCATGATTTAAAGATATTTAGTTTCGAGAAAATTACTTTTTGGAATTACCTTTTCTTCAAACGAATCTCCAGTACATTAAATTAATGTTTTCTATTACTGTGTTTACACAACAACATTTTATCAAAGCCTAACAACTCGATGCGACTTGAGCCACAAAAAATGAGCATGTAAACGCCTTCAGCTC